AATACCAGGTTCAAATTTCTAAATAGAAGAAGAATATAAGCCAAATGCAATTGTCTGGATGGGGGGGGGGGGGGGCAGGGTCTGCCTCTTATGAACTAAATTACTCTGTAAATGAATGGATCTAACTATAAGAAAGGATACTTGTATTAATCTCCAGACATATCAAATTATGTAAGAGAGATTACGAAGAATGGCAGTTGATTTATTTGGATAAATGTAAATGAGTACTAACTTTTCAAGCCAATATCTTCCACTTATACGATCTTTTCAGGAAAGATACAGACATTACTGTTACTAACTCAATGCAGATGTTTGCCTGAAGCATAGCTGTGGTTAAACAGTAGCTAAAATGTACCTCACTAAAGAAACCATCTATAACAGAGACGGGACACTGTCTACTGTTCCTTCTGTCAATCATGGGTTCATATGTAGTTGTTACACTCTGGTGAAAAAAGTTATCTTAAATATTGTATTGCCATGATTATAAAGACAGTAAAGAATTTAAAAACATTAAAATTGTTTTTAAATGAAACATTTAAAAATATTTACATTAATATTAAGGGTACAGCCAATAATGAAAACATCCCTGTTTTAGCCATCCTGCAGCACAGTAATGTACTGAGGAAGCCTGCCAAGAATCAGGAGTACAGTACTCAATGCAGAACAATGGTGGCATCACTTCCAAGTATTTCAAATCAACAGTGGAAGTTAGATATGGGTAGGATTATGGATATTTCTTATTAAATATTACTCTGAACTATCAATTTGTGCTTACACACAAGCTTGCAAGAACACCACAGTCCAACTAGAGTTATTCTCCACCTCTCTTCGCACTTCCTTTACTTTCATTTGTGCTTTGTAAATGTCTGCTCTAGAACATGCACTGCTAAATTATACCACCAGTGGTCTTTTTAACCTAATATCCTGTCTTTCATGTTGGCTAGATATTTCAGAGGAAAAGAAAGGAAGTCCCACATCATGCAGTCTTGGAATAATCCGTGTCCTAGGGACATTTTTTCCTCCCCTCAGCCCCACAAACTTTTACTAGTTAGGAACTGATTTATGCCCAGATACCCCAGTGTTTATCTGTTCACCATTATATATATTAAAATTTTCTTTTGAAATTCTGAAAACTTGTATCCATATACACAATTATTTTTCTTCTTTCCTTACAAATCTTACTTAGCTCTCAGCCTCAATATCTTGTACAAATAGTATCTTCTGACTAATTATACTTACAATTATTTCCTCCTATTTGTTACAAGTTTGACATTTTCAGTATTATTGGATGTTCTGCTATATCTGCATTGAGAGGTTGTTTTCTACTTTTTCAAGTAACTGTGGTTTCTGAACACCTTCAAAGCAGTCATTGTCTGCCTGAGCCAGAAATTTGGTGGGTTGGGGCTATGCATAGGGAAGCAAGAGCCTTAAGAAGTACACACCTGCAGCTTCTTATCTAAGGGAAGAAAGCTACTAATAAAATTGCTGAATTATATTTTTCGGTTTTGTTGCACAGCTTTTCAGATTACTATCAATTCCATATTACAGTACCTATGAAGTACGCACTACATTTTGCATTTATATACAGTGAATTAATCTACATCCCTTTCACTGGCAATTTATTGGTGTGGCACCTAAGCTACTTTAGAAAACAGTTAACTTGTGACATATGTGGCCATTTTTATAGCACACTGCCATTGGAAATACTCAAGACACTCATTGCTATGGCATCTGGGTGACTGTAGACATTTTAAAATTAAAAAAAGTAAGATTTCCAGCTAGTGGGGCTAAATGCAAAATAAAGACTCACTTCACCTGCCAGAATATGGATAAACCAATTACTAATTCATCTGGAATTAATTTCTAGAGTATTATACACATTAGAAATAACTTTAAATAAGATTGTTCTTATGCTATTAAATCTCTGTCCTTTGCATCACTTTACAGAAGCAAAGACCAACCACATTAACACAAAATGACTTAAAATCTTAAGAACAGCACAGTTAACAAAATAACTTTTGCTGTCGACTAAAAATAAGAAAAGCACTAGCTGACAAACAGACGCTGAAAGATTTGAAATCCTTTTAGAGGCAGTGGGCATATTCCTGCTAGATGTCAAAACAGATGTCATCTGCCTTAGCATTTAGCTGGAAGGTACATATTATGTTCATCCTGCTTTTGGCGCTCATCCCAAAGAATCAACCTTTCCCTTCTTATATCCACTGCAGCTTTAGACCATCCTGAATCTCTAATATTTTCCCCCAAATCCTTTATAATAGCTACAAAGTAGGGGAAGTAGACATGTCTGCTTTTAGCAAACAGGAGGCTGAAATATGAGCAAATTCTAAAAATGTTTCCCAATTTTTACCTTAAATGTACCACAGTTATGTCCTGTTTAATTGCAAATTTTGTAGTAGCTTGAACTGCACAGGAATTTTGCTGAAATGAGTACTTTTTTAAACTTCAAGAAAGCAATGGAATTCATGAAGCCACAGACTTCAATGCCAAATCATTGAAGAAGTCATGGGAATTTGCCACAGAATTTATTTCTCATGTGTTAGTACATAGGGGTCTATCTGTAAAACAGGTAATGTTTTACAGTGTAATGTTGTGTAGTGTCTGTACCAGCTAATCTGAGAGAATAGTGAGCAGATTTCTGTAATAATTTTTAAAAAGAACTTGTATTTTGTCACTAAATGCACAGTAGTACCACAATACCATGTATTCAAGAGTGTCTGCATGTAACAACTTTTAAGTAAAATAAAATTTGATTCGTCAGATAAAGGAAACTTTCAAGTCATAAGCAATAACAAAATACTCATTAAGAAATTATTGAGATTTTAAAAGGTCAACAAAAGGGTTTCTTCTTGAGGCAAATTCAAGCTTTTTTGTCTCCCCACCCCATTAAAATAAACACATTAGGCCATAGACGAGCTACATTCTTTAAACTACTTTAGGTGTTAGCTTTGTCCACTACAGGTACCATCTCATTGGAAATAAAATCTAAGCATTGAATTCAGCCATTCTGAAGCTATACAATGCCTAGGTATGGTAGGAATGTTGACATGTAATGCACACAAAATTTAAAGATTACAAATATATGCCGTAGAAGCATATTAGTTGGTCTTCAGAAGTATTCCAAGTGCAAAGCAATCAAAGCTTCTGCTGATTTAAAAGGTAATTTGACAGAGATGAACAATGCAAATTCTCTTCTAAAAGGTAGTACAAGTGGTAACCTTTGGAAATGTTCTTCCCAAAAGATACATTTGAAATAATAAGTAGAAATGTTTTAAACAATCTGTAGTTTTAGCAGTAACACCAAAAATGCAAGCATCCTCTTGAACAACAGCAGCACAAATTATATTCATTCCAAAAAGAGGAGTTAATTAGGGGGGAAAAAAAGAAACAAAATAAAATAGTTTAAATAAAATGTTTTAAAATTTGCTCAAAACATACACTGCTCTTGTATGTGGAAAACAAGACCTTAGGGGTGTAACACTAGAAGTTTAGTGACATGACTCTTGGGAGTTTCAGTAACAAAAGTACTGTTTTTTCTCCAGCATACTGTATGTCATAGGAGAAAGAGAAAGAGGACACCAAAAATACTGTCCTGATCTTTTCACAGTGAAGTAAAAACTTATCTGACAGACATTTACAAACTATAAATCTTAGAAAACTTTATAGAGGCAAATTTTTAATACCTGAAGTGCCATAATAAATATATAGACTTGTATTGGTAGTAGTTTATCATTAATTTAGTAACAGACCTCCCCAACTACTATTTCGCAGCAGTTAATTAGGAACAAATCTCAGGGGGTGCACAAAGACAAGTAAACAATAGTCACATAACTTCTGCAAAAATAGAAACAGAGGATTTAAGGTGTGGAATTTAGGGAGAAAAAATGTCAATTTTTATTAGAGTTTAAAAACTGCAAGCAGTGATCAGTGTAACTATACTATGAATCCTACAATACACCGAGTTTTATTTTTAACAACATAATGATAAAAATGTTTTCTCTCCATTGTACTTGTCCTTTTAAAAAGCTGATCTGTTATATTGAGACAAGTTGGTTACTAGTCCACATTTAAATGCACTGTCTAATGCAGCTCTACTGGCAAATGCCTCAGTAGGAGTATGGCTTATACTTGGCAAGGAAGTTCTTTTGCCAGCAGATGGTAATGTTTCCTTGAAGAATACATTACACTGGCAAAAAGATTTTTTTTGGTAAAAAAAATGTCTATGTTAGGTTTTGCGTTTAGTCAGTATAGCTATGTCAACTGGGGCATGTGATTTTTCAAGAGTCCTAGCTGTCATTTATGGTGGCAAAATTTATGCTTAGACCAAGCTTTAACTTTTCCTCCTTATAAGGGAAGATATATATAATGCTAAACCTAAAATATTTCACTCATGAAGATTGGTTCTCCAACCTCCATTTAGTTTATGGATTCAAAGAAGAATCCTTTTACAGGCTCCCTTCCAGACCCAGCTGGTGAGGGGCTGAGGTGAGAACATGGGGATGAACATTTTCATTCCCAAAAAGGATTTTTGAATCTTTGGGCGGACCAGGTATTTATGAACCCCATGGTCTAAAGTTCTAAAGAAAATGTATCTTCCTTTGATGTCTCAAGTAAACTGTATTTGTGATTTCTTCTGCATTCACTTAACTACCGGTAAAACAGATGGTTTACAATACAAGTTCACATCCAAATATGAAGGAGAGAAGTGAAGAGGCACCACAAGCCAAGTACCTTGAGTTACTCAAAGAAAAGGAATTGAATCTAAGGTAATTGATTCTTTTTCACTAGGAACTATTAGACTCATAGGTACACATTAGGCAGCAAAGCTGGGGACAGTTCAGATTACAGCATATATGATCATGATTGCTTCTAGAAAAGAAGGAAACTTTAAATTAAAATGTTAATATTTTTAATGTATTAAAATAAAACAAACCCTACACACTCATTTCTTCCTGACAATTTAAAGACACAAAAGTACTTACCCCTTGGAGCCCTTGAAACTGAATTGAGGGTCGGGAAGAAATAAGTTCCTATAAAATAAAATTAAAAAAGCTGTGAAAAAACTGTTATCAAATGTATGTAGACTACTGTACTATCAACCTGAAATGTATTTGTATTTGTCATTACAGGATATTTTGAACAGACACTTGAGCTGTCTCTCTTTTACTAACAAATATATGCTAAAAAACTACATTATATCAATTTTCTGATTATACAAGCATTAAATGTAACCTTGAATTTCAATCCCGATAGGCAAATAAAGTTTATTAATAAAAATGAAAACCTGAACCGTGTAATAAAGGCTCAGTACAAAAGTACCTATAGTTCATACAGAGACAGATGTTATACTTCATAGACCTCAAACTTTAAATGAGCTGAAGTATTTAAAGTAAAATATAATTCAAATTGTGTTTATTTCAATCCAAGTATAATAAATAAAAATAATAATAAATGACGAAAAAACTATTAGCATCGTTTCAAACTATGTAATCTGAATGATTTAGGGTCCAATTTTAGTAATGTAATGAGTCCAGAGAGAAGAATACAAGCAGATTTTTGGAGGTATTAAGTCTCTGTTCCTCCCTATGAAATCAGGGTAACATGCAGAGCAAAGGTAACTGTACTGCATATCACGGTCAACAATTCAGTATTCAAGGGATAAAATAAATCAGAACAAGTGAACTACAGACAGAGCTGTCCCTAGGGGTGTGCGGGACCCGGGGCATATCAGCCTGTGTGGGGCCAGGGGGTGGGGGTGGCAACTGCCTGCAGAAGCCAGTGGTGGCAGTAAGGGTGGTAGTGGTGGTGGCGACCACCCGCAAAAGCTGGTGGTGGTGGCAGGGCCTGTATGGCACTGTGCATGGGGTGGGCCCCTCAAAGCACGGGGCCAGGGCGGTTGCCCCCATCTGCCGCCCCCCTCCAAGGACAGCTCTGACTACAGAATCTACTTGTTCTTGAATACAGAAGTATGATGAGAGGCAACTACTCAACATAAAAGGAAGAACAATCTTTCATCCTTTCATTAATTGATATATACTATTTACAACAAACTACTAGGAATACATTACTTGAAATCATCAACAAGGGACTCCAAAATAAATAACCAAGCAAATAAAAAAAATACTTGGCACAGAGACTTATCATGAAAACAGTACAGTAGTTAGAAACAAAAACAATTTGGGAGACCAGGAGTAGAGGAAGGAAAATATCCGTTTGTGAAACTAGAATTTGTTCCTTAGTTTAAATATTATTAACATGGAATTAAGGGTAACACCATAAAATGATGAATTTCAAAAGCTCTGTTAAATCCTTAGACTTAAGAGTGTTTAATAGGTCGATACTTAAATAGACCACAGCAAACCTGGATAAAAATTGGGAAAGAAAAAAAGTACATTCTTGGGACTGTAAAAAGAGTTGTCATAGAAAGATTAAGGAAATGTAATTTTTGTCTTGTAATAGCATTGCAGGACTGTTATAAGACAAAGAACCCTCTGTTAGGAAGAAGGTATGCTATGGAAGCAAACAATTATTAACACCAATTCAGAAAATTAAATTCTGTTAGACCATTTAATGGTACTTTACTTTAAATGGCCTATACTGTGGGATTATTTTTAAGCAGCAAAACTGTAACAGGTAAATTAAACAAAATAATTATTAGGGGTGTACGGATAGAAAATGTGGAGTCCAACAGCCAATTAAGGAGGCATATCAGTCAATACCGATCTGATTATCAATACAGGTGTGTCCAGCTGGTAAGTCTGTTGTGGTGAATAGGGAGTAGGGAGGGAAGGAGTGTGGTGGGGGTAGATCAACGCCCCCTGCAGAGAGGGAGGGAGTGGGGCTGGGACAGACACTGCTCAGCCGGGGCAGGGTGAGTTCCAGGGTGGAGCTGTGGCTTGTTGTGGGGGTGTGGCTCCCACTGCTGCGTACATCCTGGGAGGGCACAGGGAGAGGCGTATGCCCCCCTGATCTGCGTGAGGTGGGATGGGCGGGCTGCAGCTGCAGGCTGGAGCCAGGGCTGTGCCAGGCTCTGGGTGGGCTGTGGCAGTGCTGGGTGGGGGGTACAGGGAGGGGCTGAAGCCACCCCAAATGTTCCTGCTGTCCCCCCATAGTCCCCCTCCCAGCACCACCGCCCACTGGGCACAGCCCTGGCTCATCCTGGTGCATGGGTGGAGACAGAGTTTGAGTTGGGGCTGTGCTGGGTGGGCGGGCGGTGCTGGGAGGGGGGAATTGGGGGGGCTATGACAATTTGGGGTGGCTGCATCCCCGCCCGTAGCCCCCTTCCAGCATTGCCGCTGCCCGCTGAGACGAGCCCAGCACAGTGGGAGGTGAGCAGCAACCGCCCGCAGGCACCTGCAGCGATGTTGATGAGTGGCTTACAGACGGCAGCAGCAGTGGCAAGAGGGGAACAGGTGGTGACCGCCTGCAGTAACCCCGCATCAGCGTATTTTGGGGTGGGGGGAGGGGGACATGTGCCTCCCCTGTGTGTCCTTTACAAGTCGTCTATGTACCACAATAATGGGACTGGGCACATGGATACAGATCTACTAGAAACGATGTCTCTGCCCAAACCAGAACTGAAATCAAGGTTCCTAAGCCAAATACTCCTCTTTTATAAGAAAATATCCATAGAACTCACTTTGCCTGCCATTCCCCTCCCTGCAACTTGTTAACTCATGTAGCATAGCACTATTAGCATGCTGTGCAAGGTGGGGCGGGTTTGGGTTTTGGGTTTGTTCCTTTTTTACTTGCAAATTTAATTAAAGAACAACCCCCCCACTCTTAAAATAACACTGAGGTTCCAAAATCAACACAAGTAAATTAGGAGATGCAGATGCACCTTAATTTACCATTCTCATATTTAAAATATTAGGATACAGTTATTCTTTCATGATCACAGAGCATCCCTACCTCATTCAATGCACAGGACAAACAGTTTGCAGAAAACTCATGGGAGCTGTGCCGCAAAAGATACCATTAACTGTACAACACTGCCTTGTATGCAAAAGTTAGAAAAAGTATAGCAAGTGTGACATGACACCTGCTTAAAAAGTTGGAGTCTACTTTAGAAAACATCATTCTCTTTTCAGCTCTGCCAGAATTCCCATGTGATAATGGTCAATTCATATAACCTTTTAACAGGTGGTTGCTACTTGCAAATTATTATATCTTAGGTGCCCAACTCAAGATTGGAGGCTTGATTTACAGAACAAGTGCTGATCACTCACAACTGTAAAACAAGAAAATGGGAGCCATGACTGTGTGTGTTATAAAATACTGAAGTTCTTTGGGAAGGAGAAAGAAAGCAAGCCCCTCACACAGTTGTTTACATTTTTGTACATAAAATTAGTGAATATCTTTGACTAAATGCATTTCAGCTCTCAGTGTGGAGAAGACCAAGGGAAGATTTCACAAATCTTCAAATACTTGAAGGGTGGTTATAAACAAGATGGTGATGGACTATCTTCTGTAGTAGCAGGAGACAGGGCAAGGAGTAAGTCTCAAATGTGAACAAAGGAAATTTAGGTTTGATATTAGGAAGAACTCTCTCACTATAAGGGTGATTAACAAACTATCCAGAAAGGTTGTGGAATCTTCACCTCTGAAAGTTAAAAGTAGGCAGGACACATTTGACTGGAACGAATGAACCTGCTTTGAGCATGGGACTGGATTAGACCATCTCCTGAGGTCCCTTCCACCCCTACTTTTCTGATATTCTATCTGTAACAGGAGATGTAATATTACTTGATTAAGGAGTTGTGAAGAAAGTAAATTCATCACTAAAAGGTATGGTAACCTAAAATCCCATGAAGAACTTAGGTTTGTATTTAATACAGCAACAGTCTGCAACTTTTTTTTTTTTTTTTTAAACCTATGAGCCAGATTGACTCAGTTTGGATCAGAGGCAAAAAGGGAGGTACTAGGACCCAGCCTCTGCCACTTTCTTTCCCTGGAGTGGTATGGGAAACTGTTGTGCTTCTCACCATGCTAGCATGGAAAAGTGACTGCTGCACAAACCTTGGCCACCAAATACCACTGAAACCCCATGTCTCTGTGCCAGATCAAATATCTTTTCAGGCTACAAGGTAGCTGGCCCCTGCAATAATAGATTTGGAGGCTTCTGTAGGGCAGGGTTTTCCAACCCCCAGACCGTGGCTGGGTACTGGGCTGAGAAGGGTTGGCTACTGTGGACCAGAAGTGACCAAGGACTGGCAGACTGCGGACTGGAAGTGATTGGCATACTGTGGACTGGCAGACAACCCTTTTTTATACACAGTATAAAAAAAAGGTTGGCTCCCTGCCCGCAGTATGCCAGTCACTGCTGGTCTACAGTCACTTCCAGTACACTGTTTGCCGGTTCTCAGCATAAAAAGGTTGGGAACACCTGCTGTACAGAATAAGGCTAGAGCAATACACTGAATGATTAGGCTTAAAAGAAATGACTCGCTTCTCATTTACCATATTTTTCTACATACCACATACCTCATATAGGACATACACCTTTGTTTTGGGAAGGCAGAATGAGAAATAAAAGTTCCAGTCACACCTGAATGCTGACTGCATTTCCATTCTGGCATGGAAATCAGCTTCCTTGCTTAAAGCATGCATACACATTTCAGATGGCTATTTTTTGGGGGGGAAAAGACTGTGTGGTATACAAATAAACATGGTAATAAACACCATCCACAATGAAAGAGGCAGGGGTCATGTGAAAAAAAAAAAGTAAGGGACTGTGTAATGGAACACTGGCTTCCTTGTGTGTATATATTTTAGGAGGCAAACTAAGGTAAATTTGCAACTTTAATTCTCAAATCTCTTAATTTGAACCAACACTGCAACCTTAACATTCTTTCAGTGTTCCCAAGTTTTAGATAAGTATTTTATCGTCTTGAACTATGCAGTTAAAATGGTTACTTGAAGGATTGCATAACCCTTCCCGACACCCATCGTATTTCCCACCAACCAGGCTTTCTGACCTCTCCTAACCTGCCCTCCGTATCCTCACCCAATCATGCAATCTTTTGAAACTTCGCTTCTTGACAGTCATCCCCCAAGGCTGCCACACTGTTGGACTCTCAGGATACTATACCTAATCTAACCACTTCCACTGCTCTGTTTCCTATCTCCAGTATGTCTAGCTGAAAGTCCTTCAACGTATGTACCAAGTTTGGGCTTTTAGTTCTTAGAGTCAGCCAAGCTACATCAGGGACTGCTTCATCTTTGAAAAATGGAGACCACTCTGACCACTCTTTGTGAATCGGCTCAGAATCACAAAAAGCTACTGCTTCCCTGTATTTCAGGTAAAGCATTCCTAGGTCAGTGGCTAGAATCATATAGAACTCACTATTTGCGAAAGCTGGTAACACTGCACACAGCCAAAAACCTGTCCAACGAAAAACTTTCATGATGATGGAACTTAAGCTGCATCTAACAGTTAAAAAACAAAACAAAACAAGAAAAAAACCTTGAAGTCAATATAACGACTTGCATTTTCTCACTTTCACAGTAAACTAACCTTTCCACTATGTTGTATTTAAAAAATCCCAAAAAACAAAACACACAAAGTAAATTCAGCATAACAACTCTAGCCTGAAAAATTAAATCTAGCAACATCTTAAAAGCCTGGTAACAACCAAAATGGTAAGCAGAAAAAATGAGCCATATTCCTAACATTTTGGTTGTTTCATCTAGCTTCCTTTTTGACCCACTTTGAAATCAAGGGCGATAAAGAAATGTAGACTGATACAAAAAAAAAAAAAAGATCCGTTTATACCACGCTTCAAGTTTAGTTATCCATAATTTTCTCCCTCATAGATAATTATCTGCACCAAGCACTACTTTGCATACATAAATGTTTATTAAGACACCATTCAGCACCATATGAAGCTTCAAAGGTCAAGAATTTAATTTTCAGTTTAACAGTATCATGAGAACTTAAGAAATGTGTTTTGCCAAGTAGTATTTAGATATCTCCTGTAAACACCTAAAATACCCTGAGTTTCTTTCTTAGACTCTCAAAAACATGAGCAAAACCAATGCAAAAAAGTCCTATCTTCAAAAGTGGAGGAAAAAATACAGGTGTTTTTAACTTAGGATGAAATGCTTGTACAAACAAGGCAGTTCCACACCACACCTTACCAGGTCAAGTTAGACACCGAGCAAGAACCTAGTCCTTAACAACCCAGCAACTGTTGTTAAAATTAAAGAGTATTTTATCATGCCTTTACTGTGAAGGTAGGCACATTTTTACATGAAAGTAGCATAACTTATATGCTCTGAGATTCTAGAAGTGATGAGACAGAAGTAGTTTTTAAACACTGACTAGAAACATCAACTTCCAGCTTGTAGGGGGAAATAGGGCATTTACTTTGACTAGCTGCATCAAGGTTAAAGCTACCTATCTTAAGATTTCTACAGCACTCATTAACTACAGGTATGATAAAATCCTAACATACTGCAAGAGATTTTTTTAATAGGATATAACATACCACATGCATATTTCCCCCAAGAATTAGTCTGCCAAAATTGGAGCGCATGTCTTAAAGTGGGGAAACTGATTTTTTGCCCAACAGAAGACTGTAGACTCTAAGATGGCTGATGCTTTTTTTCCTTCTCTCACCACAAGCTTGGAGAGGGGCAGAGTCCAGTCTTCAGCAGCAGCAGCAGCAGCAGCAGCAGCTCTCATTTTAACCCTTTCATGTCACAATTGGAGCAGGGACAGGACCTAACCTTCAGCTCATTCATGCTCTTCTTTGCCCTGCTCAGGCAAAAGCAGACAATTCAGCTGTGAAAGGTTAAAACTAGCTTTTCCTGAACCGGAAAGGGAAGGTGAGTAAACTGAAGATTAGGCCCTCTCCCTGCTCCATGCAGTCAAAACTGTGGGGAAAAAAAATCTCTTAATTCTGCCTTCCACAAAACAAGGTGCACTGTCTTATTTGGGGATGTGTATGGTGCATACAGGGAAATATGACAGATGTGGACTCCAAGTATTTGCATTTTGGTGCCACAAGATATTGCAAGTTATTGTCCCCACCTTACTCAAGAGTAGCCAAACCCAACCAATCTATCAGAACTCAGGTGTTTTTAGAAAAATGGGCACAGAGTTGGCATGTGTTAATAAAACACAGAAAATGTAAGGAAGCATTCTTGGCTGAGCAGATGTAAGCAATCCATAGCATTCTCTGAGAGTAGTTCCCGTGTAAGAGGTTCTATATAAAAGTTCAGTGTTGGTCTTCTGATGTAAAATTTAGTTTGATATTCTTTGCAAAGAGTTCTGTGTCTCAGACTGTTTCACAAAGCACTGAGTCAGACATTGTAATGCAGCAATTGTGTAGGCTAATGCAGTAGCCATTATGCTCTTAGAATAGCTCAGAGCATTTCACACAAGCCAGTTTTCAATTCAGAGAAAGAATGCTGGCTGAGGCACCAGGGTTATCCATTTCAGTTTGAGAGACTGCCATATAGGATCCTTAAGTTTCTAGCAGAACAGGAACCAACAATGACTAAATGGACCTTTACATTATCTGAAGGACAGCACTTCTGATAGAGCTGCTTTTTTTCTTCATACAAAATGAAAGTAATTTTGCACTGCAATATTTTACCTAAGGCTAATGTCAAATTCTGATTATGGCCCCATGACTTTTTGATCTCTTTTGTATCATAATGCATTAACAAAAGACCCAAGTTCAGCTTCTGAACAGCAACCTGAAGTCCAAAGACTGACAGTAGGGGGCAAGCTTTATTTGGCAGGGATGCTGCAGAGCAGAGAGGTCAAGCAGCTTCTGTGGTCAAGCAGAGAAGCTGCATGTCCTCGGCAGTAAATGCAAGTGACCAACTGCAAAAGGAACAGAGTGAGAGGGAAGGGAAGGTACAGGAATAGAGAAAGTTCTGTGGGTGTGAGTGCAGGAAGATGGCTGGAGAAATAATTCAGGGCATGTTTGGACTGCAAGATTACCGAGCCCAGCAGCAATCCCAGGAAACAAGCCAAGCAGCTCTGCGCAGTCAATTAATTGCCTGTACCGAAAGGAGTATACTAGAACAGTGCTAAGGGTAGGCTAACTGGCACCGATTCTTAGCACTGCTAATTAGCCTAGCTTTTTTGGTATCATGTAGCCTTTGCTATTTTGGTCTAGTTCTGGTCCACACAGGGGCACACAAGGAACACTGGAAGGAAGTGCTGCCAGCATGTAAACTTGCAGTATAGAAATGGCTTCAGAATAATCCTTGGGGGAGAGGCTACTACACTGGTAGGAAGACATAAGCTGTTCAGTGGATTGTATTTGGAGCAATGTTACATCACCACTAATATAGCTCATCTTCTGCATCAAACACACATTTAGGCAAATTTTACCTAAGGTTGAACCCTAAGTTTCACTTTGTATCTAAATATTCATTTTTTACTAATAGGTGCGTAAATATATAATATATATAAATGTTTATATATCTTATATTATTATATAAATATACAAATATATAACTATAACAAATGCCTTAGTGGAGCTACTCTGCACTCTTATTTAGCTGCTAGCTTTGGGGATACAAGACCACCACACTTATATTCCTCTGGGTTTGCTATTCATTGTTTAGGCAGAGAATCAGTCTCCTTTTAAGTCTCAAGCTCTATACACACATATGGCACTATATAAATAACTCAAATCCCAGCTACCACCCCTGTGAATAAGGCTAATTATCTACCAACAATTTTCAAGTAAGTTGGCTCAACAGACTGAACAAAGAAGAGTTGATAATTAGCACATTTGAAGTTATGTGCATAATGAAAATCTTATATACTTTGATACACACATAACTGGTCTCACAGGAGACTAGAGCAAAAATCCACTGGAAGCAAGATACAGGTCAGAGGACTACAGAAGCTGAAAAAGTCCATAAAGTTATCCAGATCTCATCTCTGTTAACTAGTTACTTCTAAGCATACATTTTTCTAGTGATCTATCCAGTCAAGCAACACATCAAAAAACCTGATTAAAAAAAACAGTGTACTAGTTTTTTAATTAGCCATTTAAATTGCATAAACTCAGTGTAACCATAATGAAGTAATCCACAAACTATGTAAAAAAAAAAAGAGAGAGAGAGAACATCACAACCCCTTAAATTCACACACAGAAATCAGGAAAGGTCCGAATGATGATATTGGCTTGTAATTAGTCATATTATTTCCACAGGACCCCCATGTCATTCATAACACTTTCTGAACAGCGCTTATTTATAACGTGCTATTCAAAATTGTATTTTTTTCCTGTGTTCAGTATGTGACCCCATGCTTTGTTTACTATGCATTATACGTATACTACTTTGAAGGCAAAACTAATTTCCTCATAGGCTTTTTTCCTCGGTACTCATCGCCATTGTATCTGGCTGCTACATAGACAACAATGAAGTTATCGTCAAAAACACCACAGGAAGATGATTGGTTTTCAACTATTCTACAGTTGTGGAACTCAAGAGGAGAAAAATTAAAATAAAAGATATTTGCTAATTATGGATGCCCAATTTAAGAACAGAATTTTTAGTCGTTAACATTATACAGCACTTTGCATTCAACCACAGCTCCCTCTGACTTCAGCTGTAACCAAGTTCTCAGCATTTCTGCAGATTAGCCCCCAGACAATGAACACACAATCAGAGGTCATTTGTAAAATGTATGGTTTAAATGACCTGACTAACATAACAAAGGAATGCTGGCATAGGTAGGGGTAGAAAGAATCCCATTTTCAAGGGCAGCATTCAACTGCCATAACAACTCTTCCTACGGTCCCATGTCTCAGTCTCTATACACCTCCCAACATCTGCAACAAACAATACAGCAATCATATAAGCAGTCTCCTTCACATAGGTAACTCATCCCAAGAGCACTGTCCATCCTGCAGTCACAGATGCAGGGGTGCAGTGGGGGGGTTGGGGAGGAGGAAGGGAGGGGCAAGGGAAATGTATAGCAGCTAGTTATAAAAAAACCCAAAAAACACTGTTATATGCACTAAAATTGTGATTTTCTAAACTTGAGTGCTGGATTTCTAACCTTTGTGTTTAACTTCCTAGATGTTTAAAACTAAAAACAGAGTCCTTCATAAGGCAAAGCAATACATTTTTAATCAGCAGCACTGGAACCTTTAGATCCACACTTCATACCATTCTCTCCAGCTAAGAAAGCAAACGGTAGAAGTAGTAGATTGCCCTTCTCTATGCAAACTAGCCCAGAGGGGAACGAGACATACATTACTTTGCCAGTATATTTCACTGATATTTGCTTACAGTAGTGTAAAACAAAGATTCACAAATCTTGGATTCCACTCCTGCTATGTTTTGTCATTACCTGACCTCTCCCAGCTCATCTGACCAATGGGTAAGAGCAATGAGTCTTTTTCCTTACTGGGGTCAAATAAGTTTTCACCAAGTAGAAAGCCCCTATTTATATAAT